CAACCAATCCATCAATTACATCAACCAACATAACAGACCACCCACCAAWCAATAATTTCGTTGTTTTTCTTCATGTTTTCATGCGTAGATCGACTCTAATATTTTGCGCACTCATTTCACTTCATTGAAGGATTTTCATATATGGAAAATTTGGAGTTTGTCATATATGAGACGGGTCTTAGTTACCTTGCCACTTTCCAAAAGACACACTTCGGACTGTATTGAGATGGTTTCTGAAAGACAATATACAAACCTACAATGTCATATCACAGCATATAATAATGTTTGATATCAGTGGTTTGAAATCTTATCAGTGATGATGATGAAAAAAACTAATATGAAACGATGTTCTAACAGTAGCCCAAGGCCGATGTGAATGTAGAACTTGCACTTGTAGTTCTTGAATTACCTTTAAATGCTTCAAAACTATCGTCACGTTATCTTCTAAGACGTTTTCAGGTTTGGGGTCCAATGTAGTCGATATCACGGGACTGATTATTTTATGTGTGATGTTGCCATTATCTCTAGGAAGAGTTTTAGGACATGTTTTCATGGAGACAAAAACAAAAAAAACACCGCACTCCGCATCGCACAACAAGGAACAACAATTTCCGTTTTTGAAAAAGGAAGCACCCTGATGAACATTTACATCAAAATAAGCGATATATATAAAACACACAAAATAAAGCTATAAAAAACATTAATTTGAAACAAAGCTACTAAACACGATACAATAGAAAACACAAAAAGGAAGCGAAAAAATAAACATCAATACAATATAAAAAACCCATACAAAATAAACTTTACAAGCACAAAATAGTTTTTTTTTCATAGAACTTACGTTACATCGGGTATGTTTTCAGTCATATCCGAGAAAAGGGCATTGACCACACAGCGATCTTAAAGACAAGAGAAGATTTTTAGGCAAGATGTCCAATGGAACCATCCTCATCAGTCGCACTGAGTTACATAATAAAACATGATATCAATCACGAAAGAATTGTTGTTAAGGCAATTTTGTTTTTGCAGAGCACTTGTGACTTAACCTAATAATAATATAATTGAAAAATGTTGTTTGGTACAAAATTGTGAAATTACAAAAGTATCTAGGGTATACTAAAAACTTTGAATCATATATGGCCAGACAAACTTTGTAATATTTCTATCAGAGCAAGGCTGCCATGATAACGATAATGTCTTTAAGATTTTATTATATTTTAATACCTGTTCCATCAAATAGCGATTTTAATACCTGTTCCGTCAAATAGCGAGCCAGGAAGTTCAATCGTAGTTGACATATCGCTTTGTTCACTATCAGATGGAAACACGATTCTTCGTTTAGTGGCAACTCTATTCATCTCAAACACTGCGAGGTTGAAGAAAAGAACAACAAGACAAATGATGAGTGAAAACAAGTGATCAGGACCTCTGGAACACAATTACTATTTAATTGCAGTAGCTGTGAATGCAATTGATGTTGTAAAATGGACCAAGATGTTAATTAAGTGGTGTGCCTCTATGATCGAAATTAAGTATGATACCAATACACTGTACTTACCTAATCCCATTATCTTCCTAGACATCTTACCAATCTTTAAATTCTTCAAATTATGTCTTGCCCACCTCGTACCAAACTTTTCCATTGGTTCAGCTATTTTCATAACATTGGCTTTTACTCCTTTATTCCTCTTAAGACTTTCCATCACAATTGAAGTTGTACTGAAAAAATTCTTGTTTTGCGAAAACAAAAATTTGTTATTGCAAGCGCTAATTATCCAGCAAGGCAAAAAGCAAGCAAGCTATTATACCTCCAGCATGTTTGAATCTTCGACTCTCATTTTTCTGACTTTTCTAGTGAACTCATTAATCTGTAGGCAGAAAATTGTCATGAAAATCTTTGTTTGATCAAAGTTTTACTCTAACTTTTCTTTGGTCTTTTACATAATAAGCTAGTAAAACTTTCATAACACTTTCATTCTTCTCTTGATAAGTGATAGAATCATGGGATAACTTGTCGCTTTCAAAAACGTATTTTCCATTGATTTTCCTCTATATAGTGGAGGTGAATAAAAGTTATTCCAAAACATAATTTGCATTCATAGATAATCTTATGATAAACAGAATATTACATCGTCATTTGGAAACACGTTTTTTATTAATCGGTGCGCTCGGTTCGTATGGCATGACCATGAGCCAAAATAATATTTTCCTGTACGTCAGTCCCACTCTTCTCCCACTCAGCCAATAAGGATATTCTATTTACCATTTCGTTCAGAAACAACTTTGGTCCAGCTGTACCTCTTTCCTTTGTGGTTGGATTTATTGGTTTTGAAGCTCCACTCGCCGTTGTTACTGTAGTTGTGGTTGCAGTTGCTGATAAAAAGCTGTCTTTTGTGCTAGCTATTATTGTTGAGAATATAAACTAATGTATGTTTTTCATCAGAAAGATATTATTTTCTATTGATTAAGTACCTTGAGTTGTATAATTGATGCAGTTGACAGTTACTTGTGTCTTGGCTTCGTGAAACAAACACCATTTGATAGTACAATTTTCAATAGTTGTTGCATAATCTGGGCATTGTAGCTTGTAAGTTCCAGTAAATGTATTATTTCGTCTATGAAGTGATGCGGATTTGCTATAATTCAACTTACGACACACCAAGTCTGCTTCTTTTTGGCTCCAGTTTTCTCCACTGATATTTAGCCAGCCTACACAAGAATTCTCGCCTATGCGTGTTTGGACATGACCACCATTCACTAAACGAACTTTTATCGTTAGAACAGCGCCTATTAGTACAAACCCATTGTCAATCACATTCTCCACTCAATTCCTTGTCATCCTCCAACTCCCTCCCCCAACATTCTGTGCTCCGATAAATTGACAACTAAGCTACTAGTACTAAGACATTAATGACATTATTAGTGTAATACGACATCTATTGAGTATGTATCTTCTCTGACAAAATATCTGGATATCCTGATACCATCGACTCACTTTCATTTCATTTGTGGTAGCATTTAAAAACCTTATTTCTGGTGATTTTGGTGTTGTTTATGATCATAACAATTGCTTTCCTATTTGGGTTTCAAATGTCGCCCATGAATCCGGAGCGTTCCTTGATTCAGGATTACAAGCTCATGGATTCCAGATTCGATGAACAATTTTGCAAGGATTCTAAATTCCATCATATTAGTCTCAGAATGTAAATCATCCTAACTTTTTTAGTAAACATTGGAAGCAAGTAAATTGGATTCCAAATTCTTCTTGTTTTTTCGGATTCCGTCTGGATTCTAGATTACACACAGGGAGCCCAATCAATGACTTTGGATGTATAATTGTTAAAAATATAATTTTACTTCTAAAAACGATTTACTTTTAGTTGATTTAGCCTCAATATACATTATATGGTTTTACAAAATTCTCTGCTCCCTATATATGTAGAGTGACAAGGGAAGAGACACAAAAACGATCGACAAAAATGTTTTTTTTTTCGCGCCGAAATTAAATCAAAACAAAATCAAACGCTTTTTCGGGAAAAAAATCCACAAGAGTGTCCCCAAAAATAGCCACGAACGATTATATCCTGAAGAGAAAACAAGTTTGGAGACATATAGTAACAAAAACAAAATGGGATCAAGCCGCCAATGGCAACACAACTCGAAGATTGATTGTGCAGACGAATACAGAAAGATATAATGATGAATCAAATTATAATTACTTAACGAATAGAAAAGAATGTATACAATCATGCTGCTAAAGGATACCTTCACTCGTCTATTTAACGAATAGAATTTTAAATAAACGATTTATG